CTGCTCAGACTGCCAATTAGTGCCAGACGAGTCTCCAGCTCATCTCACATAAGACATCAAACAGGCATCAGGCAGTAACTATTTCCAGTGACTTTTGGATTTAAGCCAATGTTCTCCCATAAAGGTGGAAGGTTCTGTATTCCATTGCCTGTCCCATTATCCATCCCTCCATCCCTTCCCCTCATCCCAAAGGAGTATTGGAATTTAAGGTTGAAATCCTGGGCCCAAACAAAGTCGGTCATAAAACTCCCATTATCTTTAACAAGGCCAGAATTTCACCCCAAAATGTTGACCTTCCCTATAAGCAAAAGTTACGATGACATTTTGCTGTGTCATTAAATCCAAGCAAGCTGAAGAAACTTTGGCCAAAGTGAAGAACACAAAACTGTTACATGCAATTAAAATGTAAGGGTTGTGCAAGAACAACTGAAGAAGTCTGTTTACATCTAGCCTCAAATTAATCTCTGTGTCGTGATGAGGGTGTATAAATCTCACGCTGACAGGAAATTGGCCATGGAGGCTCTGTGGGATAAGGTTGCCCCACCCCTGCCAATTATGCATGGTAGGGAGAAGGGCTTTAAAAGGAGGAAACTGCAGTTTACAAGGGGAAGCCCAGAGATGGAGTGGCTGGAGTGTGTCCTGAAAAAGTAGGAGAAACCTCCATGCCAGAGACCACCTCTGTCCCCAGCTCTGCAGGGAGTCTAGTGAACCCTTGGGACAAGCCCAATAGGGAGAGACTGACCCTGCTACCTAGCTGTGAAGACCCCAGTAAAGCTGCTACCCAGGTGTAACCCATGTGCCTAATAGGGAGATATTTCTTTTAAAGACCCATTGGTGGGAGTTTGGAGTGAGTTGTATCTAGGTCATTGTTGCTAGACAGATTTAGCACTCCACATCCAGAAGCTTCTGGAATTGGGTGTGGTAGTTTTGGGGATGCTCCACTAGGTTCCCTGTTGCTGGGGTCAGACTCCCTGAGGGCGAGCAGTCAGGGCAGCTGCTTTGCAAAGGGCCTTGTGCCCTGGTTGAGTTGGGAGAAGATAAGCCCAGGAGCAGGCAGCAGGCTGGTGTCCCTAACACTGAAGCATTTTGCAGCAGGGTTTTCTTTAAATGTATACACATAACTGAGTGGTGGGTTAATCAGTTTGCTGACTGGCTAGCAGTGATTTCAGCAGAGGAAGAGTCTGCCTGGATTCCAGCTGAAGATTCCTACAAGCAAGGGGCGGGAAGATGTTGTTTTAGACTCAGCAGACTGTCTAGATTTGGTGATCAAAGACACTGAGACTTAGGTGAACTAAACCTAAGCTTTTGGGAACTCTCAGTTTCTTCTCACTGTGTTTCTGTGGGGACAGAACTGTTCAGATTTTAATTTGTTTATTTATATTTATGTATAATGTCTGTGGATTATAAAATAGCCACGTCATGATGTAAAACTTAGATTATTTGTTTCTGTATCGTAAGATTTTATAAAGTTATTTAATTAAATTCATTTAGTTCCTTTTGGGACTTGAATGTGGGGAGCTTGACCCTGTGCAATCCTTGCTGAAAATCCTTACAGACTGAACTCTGGGTCTCCAACTACTTTCTATGGGAAGTTTGTTTGTTTGTTTGTTTTGTTTTTAAGACACTGAAGAAGGCTAATGAAGTGAACTCTACCCCACCCAAAAGGTAACTACACAGGCACCCCTGAAATAAGGTGCTACTACTGAATATTTTGCTTTTTATTGACTCCAGGAGGGGCTTGTTTTGTGCTGAATCTGAATGTTTTCTTTTCCCCAACCTACAAACAAAGTAAGCAGGCCCACAAGGGCAGGGCCCACTGCAAGGACTAAGCGGCTGTGGCCTGTACTGGGCTGACCCCGTGGTGATAACTGGTTATGGCCTGGGCCCCCAATCCAGGCGGGAGGCACCTCAGAGAGACACTTTTTAAAATCTTCCTTAGCTTTGTGCTTGGGGATAGGCCTGACATACCAGATTCCTTCTCCAAATGTGTCTCCACTTCTTAATTTATACAATGACTGCTAGGAGGCTAATTATAGCTATTACAGATTATAGAATGTACAATAAGACCTAGATACATCACACTGTACTCATAACTTCTCACTTGGTCAGACAAAGCCCTTTTTTCCTCCTCTTTAATGAGAAACAGTCAGTAGGGAGCCTCCTGCACTTGGTTTTAAGCAAATTGAAAGGTCCAACCCCAATGCACAGGAAGCTAGCGCAGTGCTTAATTTGTAAAGAAAGAGGTGCCCTGGCTCAAGCAATGTTTTTACATTCATAACTGATGCAGTGAACCTATAGGTGCTGGAACTATGAACTGCCAAACCTAGAGGTGCCAGGGCTCAGCCTTGGCAAGCCCTGGCACAAATTAAGCACTGGGCTAGTGCCACGTTTGCCAGTCCTGCTCACCTCCTGGAGAACTGCGTGTGCGCAGAGTCACGATTTCTGAACGGCAGTATGCCTTGTTGGGTTCAGTTCTCAGGCACTGGGCTCTAGTCTCCCCTATTTCCTCAATATTGATGTTGTCCAAAAAAAACAAATACACTTTCATTTCAAACAAACTAGCTGTAGGTTATGGCTAGGCAGAGACTGAACTAAGAATGAGGCCGGAGAGGAACTTTCCTCTCTTATCATGATGTCAGCATATCTATAAATATTTATTCTGAGTTCAAGGTAGCATGCTCATTTGAAAACATAACATGTGGTTTTCACAGTCACGTCCTCAGTGTTTAATTATCTTCCTTTCTCTGTGTTTATAATGGCATGCGGCAGCCCTGGTTATTTAATCAAATCAGCCGCATCACATGATGACCCTCACTCAGTGCAGCCTACTTGGAAAGAAATGTGCCCAAGGTAGTTAAACATGCTGGTTTATTTACTGAAGATAATTTATTCAATAGGTACATACACCTTTCACCATTATGTGGAACCAAGGGAGTTATAGATTTACTATAGGGAAGGTAGATTAAGCATTGCTGTTCACCCTTCAGAACAAAGAGATTTTCAAATAAATGAATGGCAGCAAATTTGACACTGACCAAAGGAAATATTTTTACATAGTTAGCCTGTGGAATTCATTGCCACAGGAAATCATTGGGATCAAGACCTTAGCAGGATTAGGTATTTATATGACTGACAAGAATACCCAGTTATAATAAAGTCAATGTTTTTTTTTAAACAGATTTTCTAGAAGGGACATAAACCTGCCCGCTTCAGGGTGTACTCTAACCGCTAACTAATGGGAATGAGAAGGAGACTTTATCTTGGAGCTATCCCCTAACGGTCTACTGCAAGGTTTCTTGCATCTTACTGTGAAGCAACTGGTATTGGGCCCTTTCAGAGACAGGATACTGGATGAGATGGACCACAGTTCTGATCCAGTCTGGAAATTCCTATGTTCCTAACTTGCACCTTTTCCTTTCCCTTGGTTGACCTTTGCCAGCTCTAGCTTCTGTTAAACTCTAAGGGTATGTCTACACTACAAGAGTAGTTCAATTTTACTTAAATCGAATTAGTGGAACCGATATTACAAAGTCGAACGTGTGTATCCACACTAAGAACAGTAATTCGACTTTGAGAGTCCACACTAACGGGGCAAGCGTCGACATTGGAAGCGGTGCACTGTGGGCAGCTATCCCACAGTTCCCGCAGTCCCCGCTGCACATTGGAATTCTGGGTCGAGCCCCCAATGCCTGCTGGGGGAAAAAATGTGTCAAGGGTGGTTTTGGGTAACTGTCGTCATTCAACCGTCACTCCCGCCCTCCCTCTGTGAAAGCGCCGGCGGGCAATCAATTCGCGCACTTTTCTGGTGATTGACAGCGCGGACGCCACAGCATTGCAAGCATGGAGCCCGCTGCGACCATCGCTGCAGTTATGGCCGTTGTCAACACCTCGCACCTTATCATCCACCTTTTTCAGAAGCAGATGCTGAGAAATCGGGCGAGGAGGCTACGGCAGTGCGGTGAGGACATTAAGTCTGAGAGTGGCACAGACCTCCCGCAAAGCACGGGACCCCGCACCGTGGACATCATGGTGGCAATGGGTCATGTTGATGCTGTGGAATGGCGATTCTGGGCCCGGGAAACAAGCACGGACTGGTGGGACTGCATAATGCTGCAGGTCTGGGATGAATCACAGTGGCTGAGAAACTTTCGCATGCGTAAGGGAACTTTCCTGGAACTTTGTGAGTTGCTGTCCCCTGCCCTGAAGCGCAAAGACACCCGGATGCAAGCAGCCCTGACTGTCCAGAAGCGAGTGGCCATAGCCCTCTGGAAGCTTGCAACGCCAGACAGCTACCGGTCAGTCGGGAACCACTTTGGCGTGGACAAATCTACCGTGGGGGTTGCTGTGATGCAAGTAGGCAACGCAATCGTTGAGCTACTGCTCTCAAAGGTAGTGACCCTGGGAAACGTGGAGGTGATCATAGATGGCTTCGCAGCAATGGGATTCCCAAACTGCGGTGGGGCTATAGATGGAACTCACATCCCTATCCTGGGACCGGACCACCAGGCCAGCCAGTACATTAATTGAAAGGGATACTTTTCCATGGTGCTGCAGTGGCGGGGTAGTGGTGGCGGCCGCACCTAGAATGGAATGCAGTGCCTCGTAGAAATGGCATGTCTGGGGCTGGGATCCGAAGCGTCCGTTTGCCACTTTGGTCTTCTGGTAGCCTTGTCTCAGGTCCTTGATTTTCACGCGGCACTGCGTTGCATCCCAGCTCTATCCTCTCTCCGTCATGGCTTTGGAGATCTTCTCGTAGATCTTTGCATTCTGTTTTTTCGATCACAGCTCTGAAAGCACGGACTCATCGCCCCACACAGCGATCAGATCCAAGACTTCCCGATCAGTCCATGCTGGGGCCCTCTTTCTATTCTGCGATTGCATGGTCACCTCTGCTGGAGAGCTCTGCATCGTTGCCAGTGCTGCTGAGCTCGCCACGATGTCCAAACAGGAAATGAGATTCAAACTGCCCAGACAGGAAAAGGAATTCAAATTTTCCCGGGGCTTTACCTGTGTGGCTGGTCAGAGCATCCGATCTCGGACTGCTGTCCAGAGCGTCAACAGAGTGGTGCACTGTGGGATAGCTCCCGGAGCTATTAGTGTCAAATTCCTTCCACACCTACCATAATTCGACATGGCGCTACTCCCCTCATCGGGGAGGAGTACAGAAATTGATTTAAAGAGACCTCTATGTCGAACTGAATAGCTTTGTTGTGTGGACGGGTGCAGGGTTAATTAGATTTAACGCTGCTAAATTCGACATAACCTCCTAGTGTAGACCAGGCCTAAGTGGTCTATTCTCCTGCTGATGGCTGCACAAAACTCCCAACAATCTGAATGGGACTTAAGTGTATTAGCAGGGAATGGACTTCTTGAGCTAGGAAAGCCAAATATTCAGCCAAATATAGCTTTGACTCAGACTCCAATTCCCCTGGCATTGCAGTGCCGTGTGTTGCAACTTGGTCTGCCAGGCTGGCCCTCAGGAGTGAAATTTGAACAGCTCAGCACAAAACCACAGGGTGAACCAGTCAGATCCCACCTTTTCCAGAGAGGATCTTATCTCTTGGTCATAGGGGGGAAAAAAGATAATACTTCAAAGAGTAACACAAACATACTCCCCAGATCAGGGTTTCTTAACCGTAACTCACAGCCCTAAGATTTTCAGGATAGCTTTCTCATAGGCAGTCTTTCCCTTCCTGTCTGGGGCAGCTGATTTTATGGTCTCTCCGAGCAACACCTGTAACTTGCGTTGCCATTAACACCTTATTTGCCAGACCAGAGTCTCTGCAGCCAGTCACATACATATTATCGTTATTTATTAAAATCACTACTATCTACATCATAGTCAGAGACCCATCCATAACAAAAGAGATTTTTGGATTGAGGAGGGTGAGATAAAACAGAGGACCAATTCAGTTTACATAGATGTTGAAAATCTGGGCTGCAGTCTGCTTTTAAAATGCAGTTTGTAGTTTTGAAATCCATGCATATATTCTTGAGCCATTTTATTGTGTAGGGATGTGCAAAATAGTCACTGTGAAATCTGACAAGCTTGGCATTTTGAGTTGGCATGAACAAGCAGGCAAAGTTGAGGACTTTTACACAAAAATAGATCCAGTAGCATTAAAATTATCCAATTTCCAGTCAAATGCTTATTTTTTGAAGAAATACAAAAATGAATATCGTAATTCCAAATTTACTTCCAAAAGAGATCCATTTTTATACTTGCCGGTGTCCATTTCAAATCTGTGCATAGGTCATTGAGAAATAACTAGGGATCATAAGCTTTTTGGGATAGAAATAACCTCTTGGCGGAGGGGTACACAGCACCTAACACAATAAGGCCTTTAACTTTGGTTGGGTCTTCTAGGCACTACTGCAGTACAAAAAAAAAAATCATAAGAGGAGAAATTTCTGTGCTCCAAAAACAGCTAACAAATTAAACAAATCATTACTGGTAAGTTTCTTACCAAAAAGTTTGTGTTCTTTTCAGCTCTATTTTTGTTTTACCATACCTTAGCCATTCCCCAGTCAGGTCAAGTTTAATAATCCTTAAATTGACACTCTTTGTGCTTGAATAATATAATCATTGTGCTCCTGTTCTCAGTTTTATTTTTCTTTCATTCAGGAGACAGCCTTGGTCTGGAAAGGAGAGAGGAGAATTCAGATATACCTCCGATCATAGAGTTAACCCCCAGCCAGTGCCAGTAGTTATTATATACAGAGGTACAATTTGCTTATTAACCATCAGCTTACAATTGTTGGAACCCCCCATCAGGCATGTTGCTGGATACAGTGGCATGAGCTACTTAGGGGATTTTTATAGATAGCTACAGATGTGCTCAAAGCCTCTCTGGGTCACAAATGGAAATGAGTTTATGGGTCCCCTTGTCAGAAAACCCTAGGGGTGTTTAGATATTTAATACCCACTGAGAGCCCTACAACTCAATAATTGAGACAAGGAGTCGGACAGAGGATCTAGTGCCACTCTCACTTTTTACCTTGGAAGTGTGCTGGCCTATTGCTAATACAACGTGGACAGGAAAAGAAGCCAGCTCAAGCCCTGCTCTCTGGCTGGGTTTCACTCTCCCTGCACTTCTTTATTCATCCAGATCTGCTCAGAGTCTGTAATAAAAGACATACAATTAAAAAAAAAAAAGCTTGGGCAAGGCTGGGCTTGTTTACACAGGGCGGCAATGTGCACTAGAGGGGTGTGGATTCTAAAGTGCCCCAACCTGCGAAGACCCTGCTGGCGTGCACTAAAAATCTGAAACCGTTTCTGTTACATAGGTCTGTTATATGTCTGTATGCCACACTAATGAGATGCACATGTGTATCCCACGAGTGTACCAGAGCCTGACGCGTTTTAGGATACCGTCAGTGGAAACTACGCAACATCAGAGGTGAGAGCAGGGCGTGCTAGGTGTCCCAACCCATGCAGCAACCACAGCACTAAGCTCTGGTCCAGCGACACTGCCCTGTGCTGCCAGGAGTGGAGTAGTAAAGCCCCTGTGGCACAGTTGCTGCAGCTCTGCCTGCCAGGGGAGCTGGGAACAGCATGCCACCTGGGTGTTTCTCTGGGCTTCACTCCTCCACTGCCGATGGACAGCGCTAAAGGTACATCTGCACTTTGAGCTGGAGAGGTAATTCCCTGCTCAAGGAAGTACACCCCTGTGCTAACTCTGATCTAGCTAGTGCACTCAGTATAGAGTGTAGCCATGGCAGCAAAATCGGTTCGCCCCCAGTGCATACCCCTCCAAGACACTGGGTACATATTAGGGGTGAAAAGCCCCTCCTACCACTCGCACCACCACGGCTACACTATTTTTTAGCACTCTAGCTCAATCAGAACCACTCTGGGTATGGCTCCTTGAGCTGGGAATAACACCCCCAGCTTGAAGCAGAAATGTATCCTAAGACACCGGAGGGCACTACAGAACCACTGACTCTGCTGTGTGGTGTCAGTGTCAACTCTGCAGCCATCTCTCCCTCACGCCTTGCCCGCTTCCCACTGTGGCCCCTGCCCATCACCACCCTGCCTGTATTTGGTATCCTTTCCCCTACGCTTTGTCTTTTTACATTGTAAGTTCTCCAGAAGAGGAGCTGTACTTCCCTATGTGTTCGTACAGTGCCTAGCACGATGGAGTCCTGATACTAACTGGCACCTCTTGCTGTACCTGTGATCTAAATGCCATATGCAGTTGTGGGTGCACAGCATCTCTCTAAATCAGGTCCAAGTTGGGCATCCTGAATTCAGGGCATTCTCTGGGACACTTTGGATTTCATCTCCTGGTCTGGAGTAGCTCAAGTGCGCTGACTTCTAAAGCATCCGGCAAAGCCCATTTGTTTGGTTAGAACTGAGATTTAAGGAAGGTTTGGGTGAGGATTTTATTTGTGGTCAGAGAGGATTAGGATTTTAAGAGAGTTGAGACAGTTCTATGGACTGGCTTCTTGTGTGCCGAGAAAAGTGGTTGGTTTGTTTGTCGTCTGTCTTTGTTGGATTGCATGTTTGATATCTGTCACGAGTGCCTAGGACCTGTATCCTTCCATAATTTATATTCTGAAATCAAAGCAACCAAAATTAGATATAGGGGCTGATCCTGCAAACTCAGAATGTCCATGTTTGTAGGATTAAGCCCATAAATAAACAAACTCACTCAAATCGTATCGTGCAAGCTGAGAGAATGCAAAAAGCAAAGCACATGCACCATAAGGGCCAAGTCCTACAAGGTGTCGAGCATGCTGATGTGCTGTTGTAACAGGAGTTGAGGATGTTCAGCACATTGTGGGAATGGGCCTCTTGGGGGGGGAAATGCAAATGTCACCTTTGAAATTATTTCTATTGTAATAATCAAAGGTGGTACTAGTAATACAGCTGAGAAGTATTATAGTATAATCATGGGGCTGGATTCTGATCTCACACTGGCTCCAAACATGGGTGTAACTAACTTGAATTTCCTGCAGCTACTCCTATCTTACCCATTTTAGAAGGGTTTAATACTGCTGCCCATCATGGCACTATGTGACCTGAGCTGATTTGTACTGGGAGAAGGCCCTGATTCAACAATGCATTTAAGCACATGCTTAAGAGAAATTAAACACATTTAAAATCCATTTTTTTTTAAATCTTGACAATGTATAAATTTACATATAAACTCGTCTTTTCCTCGGTGAATCAAAAAAGGAAATAATTTAAGATTACTATTTCAGATCAAGAAATGGGATAAACATTCTTAAAGACTATGCCTCATCATTTCTCTGACCCTGACAAGGGTCTCAAAACATTGTTTAAAATATAAATCAATAATTAACAAATGGTATTAAGTGCCCTCCTGCCAATACGCTTGGCGTAACTGCATAGCAGTTCTTAAAAAGCATGTTAGAAAAGGATAAATGCAATATTATGATAACCATACTCATAAAGGGAATCTCACAATGCATAAGGAAAAGTTTTAAACTTGGGGTAGAAGATATTATAAGAAAACATACTTAAAACTGGGCAAAGTTGGATGTCAAGGGGGAGCAAGTTTCAGACCTTTAAGGCTGAAAACCAAGGTACAAAGAAATTAACTTACTTGCCCAGTGAATAATAGCAAACAACAGTCAGGAAGTGAACCCAGGTCTCCTAATGCCCTGTCCTGTGCTCTGTCCATTGGACCATACTGCTTCCTCCTAGTATTATGCACAGATTATCCTTTTCTGTTTTATTTTTAATAGTGAAAGGATCATGCCAAGCGCCGAGCCTTGCTGCATCTGACCACACAGTATTCTGTATCAGACTGAAGAAAAACCATGTATCTTGCTAATACACTGTATTAACAAAAAACACTAAATTAGCATATGCACAGGCTCTAGAATTCTATAATCTCCTCAGACACTGTCCCAACACATTCTCTTGTAAACAGAAACCTTTGTGTTTGTATTGCTGCAGGCTTCTAGCAACAGTGTAGCGTCAACAAACCTGTACTGAGAATTATAGCTTGTCTTGTTAATTCATTCTGGGTGTTGTTAGCAACCTTGATGTAACAGATAAATATGGGAACAATCCATATCTTTCTGGAGCCTTAAGACACTTTATATTTCCTTTTCCATAGCTCCTGGGGAAGTTAACAGTTCTCCAAACCAATCTCTCCACACATCTTGTATTTTTGTTCAATGCATTGAAATCTGACTCTTGACATATGTATGAATAGTAGTTACTAAAAGGAGTGCAGCCCTACAGGTGACTTAGTTAATGGGGTTTTTGTTTTACCTTGTTTTAAAACTTGGTATTTTACATTGATTCCAGGGCCATTTTTGTCCCGTGGGCTGTGATCTTATCTATAATCCCTATTGTGATATGACTTACATGAACTTTACAAGGTCACTTTGTTAAACATAAATGTCCATCCAATCTCTTCCACTGTTCTTAATCTTCTGGAAATAATTATTAACTGAATGTAATGGGAACTGGCTGATGGCTTTGCTATAAAATTCACGTTGTACCTTTCAGACAAGTCATGCAATGTGACTGCATTGCCTCCAAGGCGTTTTCCTATACTATACAGAATTTTATCCACCCTTCTTTTTTCCATATGTTCTCTCTGGCGTCAGCCAAGACACAAGATACATTATTTGCGTAAGTTGCAAATGAAGGATTGGGGGGGGGGGGGAGAGGAGAGAGGAGCCTCAGTGCAGGTATAAGCTAGTCCAAAAGCAACTCACCACGGCTGCCCTGGAGCTGACACTCAGGGATCTCTCAGCAAAGAAGCAGAACTTTTGAGTAAGGCAGGATTTTAAGGCAGACCTCCTCCCCATACACTAACATCAGGGCGTGATCCTGTGACTTGTTGAGTGCCCTTCGCTTCCATGGAAGGCTGTAAGAAGTACAGTTGCTTGGCACCGCTCAGGCATACTGCTATTCATAATTATGAAAGCAGACAGGCTCATCTGTGACCTGTTCAGAAACCACCGTGATGGGCTCCCTGTAAGAATCTGAATAGAACAGGCCTGCCAGTTCAGCAGTGAGTTCATTACTTCCAACACAGTGGGAGGCAGGGGGAGAGAGAAGAGACAGAACTCAGGAGGCAGATTTACATCTCGAGTTGAGCCTTAATGACTACTAAGAAGTACTCCGCTAGCTTCAACAGCAGGTATCCAGGGCCGACGAGAGTGGGGGAAGCTGGTACAAATTACCGGGGCCCAGCGGTCCGGAAAGGGGCCCGGGGCCCGGCTTCGTCGGCCCTGTTTAGCCAGTCCGCCCTTGCTGGGGGGCCCGAAAAATTTTTTTCACTGGGGCTCGAACCCGCTCTCAGCAGCCCTGCAGGTAGCTTCAGCTCTGCTGTATCCTCCCCAGGACCTTGATCATTAAGTGTTGCTATAAACAGAGTTTGAGAAATCCTGGGCCATGTTGGGTTATACTGTGCTTCTGGGCGACAAGGGACAGATCACTTGATGATTCCCTGTTCTGTTCATTCCCTCTGAGGCACTTGGCATTAGCCACTGTTGGGAGACAGGATACTGGGCTAGATGGGCCTTTGGTCTGACCCAGTATGGCTGTTCTTATATTCTATTACAGACCATCTCACATCTTCAATAGGTAAAATACTTAGGACCAGCACAGGATTGGAAGTCGGGAGACTTGAGATTCAAAGAAAGGCTCAAGCTCACTGGAACGCAGCCAAAGCACTAAGGATTTGCTTGATTTTGTCTCAAAACCGTAAATCAGCTTAGGTTCATTCCAAACACGGCCCAAGACTTGACAAAAGGTCCAAGTAGAATATCAAAGCTGGCCTGAATTTCAGGTTTGTAATGAAATTCCAACCCAGGTGTGTTTGGCTTAGTATTGGGTATATGACAAGAGATTACCCCAGCTCTAACTGGATTAGCAGGGTGGAGAAAAGGTGAATTGGCAGAGCTGTAGGAGGGAAGGTCACATGGCATCTGCCTGAAGGCTATTTGGCTCTAAGCAGTGCTGACAGTCCCTCACTTTCACAACTAACTATATTCTCCCTTTCCTGGTTTTGTTGTGTTTAAATGTTCAGCAGGCTCAGTATGTGGGGGGGGGTGGGGGGGGAGAGGGGGAATAGCACAATTACACCATCGAATCCAAAATCCACTTCATCCATTTTTATTTGCTTGTTGTGAACATTTGCATAAATGAGATTTTGATCCTACAAATGTCTGGGATAGGAGGAAGAGCCCACCTGTTTTCATGAAAATACACTTTTGGACAGAAATGGGGGTGTTGCATGCAGGCCTAATCCAAAGTCCATTGAAGTCAATGGATAGATCCATTGAAGTCAATAGGAGTCTCTCCATTGACTTCAATAAGCGTTGGAGCAGGCCCTAAATACACTTGATGTATTTTGTAATGTGAATGAGATTCCTTGTGAATCTACTTAACACTGGAACAGTGTTCCCAACACCCTTTAAGAGAGGCCTGACAAAGAAGAATCAGAGTCCAGCAGCCTTGCCTCAACCTTCTAAGCTGTTAAACCTGCCTGCTTAGTCCTTGAATCCTTACTGTTTATATTACAGAAGCACTGAAGGCCCCATCACGAGGGCAGCCCCAAGATCTGGAAAGGGAAGAGGTCTTGAGTGTAATTTTTCCCAGATGGTCCCAGTATCATTTTGAGACCCAGATGGGTAGCAGACCTATCAGCCCCTGACACTGAGCACCAGTGATTAAGATTCACACATAGACATCCATCATGCGCTCACATATATGAAGTGTAACAGCTTTGCTTAATATTCATTCGCTCTCATTCTTGTTTTAACTTGTCTTTGGTTACGGAAGATGTATTTTGCACCAAAAAAGGGGGGGGGGGCAAACACTGCAGTATCTCTAATACTACTGTGTGGTGACTGTTGGCATACTAGGCCTGCAGTGTGTGTTTCCTTCCCTTTTAGTGGCTGGTCCACATAAAGGACAACTGCCTACTAGTGCTACCCTCTTACAAAGTTACTCCTTCAGCTCAGATAGTAGAGGTCTATGCTTTAGTGGTTCCTGGTTCAAACACTGCCGATGACTCGCATTGGGAATCACGGCACTGGTAAAGGCTATCTTGTCAATGGCAGCCAATGTAAATGAAACTAAGAGTGTTACTGACTCTGCTGGGCTAATGTCCCTTAAACCTTGATTTCTGTTAAAATCCCACAGTTCCTTTTTGGCCTTTGTTACAATTATTGTCCACAGCTTTATTTTCAGATTGATGTTAATTACACTAATGAGTCATTTCATCATTAGACCAATTAAGTTTAATCCTTTTCACCAACAGGCATCCATGATATGCCATCCCATTCATTCTGTGACAGAGGGCATACCTAGCTCTCTGGTTCTGCCACGAGTAAGCATAAGGGCCTCAACAAACCACACTGCAATCAATTAATCATTTTATGACCATTAATAACTTATACCACATGTGAGCTAAAAGAATAATAAGGCTAAATCTGGGCTGCAGGAGGCACCTCTCTCTGTTTAGCGATCCGTGAACAGGAACCAGCTGCTGACAGCCAGGCGGCTTTGGTACTTAGGGCATTTCTTGTGTGAATGAGTTAGGTGCCTGCCTTGCTTCACACAAACCAGAAGGAGGAGGGAAGGAGGGACATGTGCCTAAGTCTGGGGTTTAGGTACCTTTGTGGATCTGGGCCTAATTGCCTTTGGTGTGTTAATTTCAATGGAATAATGGGCCCAGAACCCAGAAAGTCAGTCTTAAAATGATCCTCTCACTGTTGAACACTACACAGGGTTAAACATGGTTCAGGGGGTTGAGTACAGAGACCTCAGCCTGCTTAGTACCATGGCAACAAACACCAATAAAAATCTTTAGAACCTTTCATTAAAGAGACAGAAAAAGAAGGAAAAACATTTAAAGCATTTGAAGTATTAAGTAAGGGTTTCATTTTATCAGTACCCCTGAATTACGTACCCCCGAATTACGTACCCCCTCTTTAGTGCTGTACAGTGACAGAGTCACGTTAACCCCATTGAGCGTCTGGGCCCATTTATATCATCAAAATTAACACAACATAATTTGGCGATCCAGCCAGGAGTGTAAGGGTTAATATGCATTAATCTCAAATTCAGTTTAAATAGTAAAAGGGTTTGGTTTTGGTTTTTGTTGGGGTTTCTTTGAGGGGGGAGTGTTGTGATTAATTTATTAATTTTCATAAAGAAACAATGAAAAGTACAAAAAGGTAAATGACTTACAGCTTATATAATGTTTCTGAATACTGCCCTTAGACTAACTTAGACCTACTCACATCCCCATGTGAAAGGCAACCTAAACTGGTGTGGGTTATGCAGGAAGGAGTTGTAAAATGGAATGGCAGCTACTTTAACTTACACTTTCTCAGCCCTTCTTCCATCTCCCTTACACATCAGTCGAGTCAGTATAAACAAGCCTCAGAGATTTAGCTGAGTGCAAGGGAGCCTGGCTTGTAGCACTTCCTTGCAGGGTGCCGCCAAGTGAGTAGGTCCAAGTTTGAATTCTGAGCACGTCCTTCTTTGTTCTGTAAAGGATGAACAGAAAGTCGATAGTGTTTTCCATTGACCTCTTACAATCCCCAATAACTGTTGCTAAGAGTGGCACTAAGGAGCTGTAAACTCTCCATTCTGACATCCTCAGATACTTACTCCATTAAAAAAAATATTCTTGAAAATTCCAGTTCATAAGCTGACATACATTTTCAACCTTCAGTTCAGGAACATTAGAGTACAACTCCCTTTGGCATTAATGCTGTTTGCCAGCCTACTCTCACCCATGGAGTTCAGTATCTAGCCTGTCTGACTCATGAAAGACATCCCCGCCACCAGTCTCTGCTTGAACCAAAACTGATCAAAGAAAAGACTTGCAGAGAGCAGTGAAGGGTGTTGGGAGACACACCTAGACCCCTCCTGACAAGGGTGACTAGATTAAGGCATCTCTATTAGCATACAGAATGGAGAACAGAGAACTGCACTGAACTCTGGGACCAGGAAAGCAGGGAAGCACTGCATCATGGGGGATCTCTGCTCCAGATGTTAATGAACCTACACCTGCACACACCCAGCTCAGCAATTATCAGACCAATTCTAGTAAGGAATCCTTAATTGATAGCCAAAATACTGAAGCAGCCTAGTTGCATTGTGAGCTCCCTGAAAGAAAACACCACCCATAGCCAAGAGTGATCAGCTCCTATTGTCTAGCCTAAAGAAAACCCTTGAGTCATCAGTTTACCCATAAACAAATCTAGTGTTCTCCCTTGAACCATTGTTGTTTCCCTACAAAAACCTCTATCTATGTTCAAGTCAGTGTTCTGATGCTTGGATCCAGGCTATGCATCAGTTCCACTGGGACTCTATCTTCTCCTGACTGATCGTGCTGGGGGCTCTGCCGGTCTCCAGCACTCAGTAGCCTGAGCTGCCACCATCAAGCTTCATGGAGTGGGTGAGATCCCTCCCTCCCTCCCTCTGTTTTCTTTTCTACCTCAGGTATTAACCTTTAATAATGTAACTTATGTTGGTTTAGGCTCTCCTTGTGTAGATATCACTATTATTCAATACATAACTTTTATGGTTAAGCTGGTTGCTTCTCTCTCTCTCTCTCTCTCTGAACTTTACTCTTTTGTGTTTTTAGCTTCCCCATTTACTCTGCAGCAACGCTCCTCTTACCTAAGCTAAAGATCCCTGTAGCACCCCAAAATACTGTGGGGTTTGCTCATCAAGTGGGTTACTATCAGTACAATTGTGATATGAAAGTGGGGATAGGGACATGCTGAACCTGTGACATACAACGGTGGCAGCTTGGAAGTGCTGCTCAACCCAGACTACCGAGTCCAGGGGCATATAAAGGTGGTAGCTTGAAAGTGCTGCTTGACCCAGTCCGCTGAGTACAGGGGCATATAAGGGTGGCAGCCTGGAAGTGCTGTTCGACCCAGCCTGCTCAGACTTAGTCTATTCCGGTGCGGTACTTGTGGCATATAAGGGTGGCAGCTTGAAAGTGCTGCTTGACCCAGCCCATTGAGTCCAGGGACATATAAGCTGATTGACCCGGTCCACTCAGACTTGCTGTGTTAGTGTCCGTGTTCATCTGATTCTGGGGCTGGAGGAACCCAGCCCTACGGAACCTAGATCCTGCAGAATAGATCCATTGGGAGGGGACTTGCAGAAGGGAGAAGTAGAGCTCCATATGAAAACACACGTGACACAAGCTGTACATTGATAGAAGTACAGAACACCCCCTCCCCAGAAGAGTAACCCTCATAAATGATCATACCCCAAAGTAACGGGCAAATTGGGTAACAGAGTACAACCCCCTTTGGCATTAATGCTGTTTGCCAGCCTAGTCTCACCCACGGAGTTTTCACCACGCTCCTCATTGCTCAGTTCATTCTTGCCTCCTTTCTTTCTGACTCATAACATCAGTCCAGTCCAATCTTGAGTTCACCTTGCCCTCTCACCTATTACCTCATTCAGAGTGAGATCAGAACGCACGCAGAGCTGGCTCTTCATACAGCATCTCATTACTGTAGCTTTGCTAAACTACAACCCAAACCCAACAGAGTCCGGAAAAGCCTGTTTATATTTCAGACTGGCTTTTATTTGCATTTTATACAAAAACACTGAACAAGCACACCATGGGTGGGACAACACACGATTGAAGGTTCTTTTGTCCTGGCAAGTAATAACAAGCCATTTCCCATGTGAATACGTCTGTACACAGTATCTGCAACTTGATAATGGAGGTTAATATAAAGGGTTTAAATTTCTCAGCTGCAATTGTGACATCCCATCCCACTGAGCTGCTGGTCACAGGTGTGTTTTGATGAAATATGACATCCAATTTCTCCCTCCTGAGGTGAGTCCAACATATAACTCCTCAGTAGGAGGTGAAAAGAAGTTTAGTTCAGAGTTGAAGCTTTGGCTGGAGAGAAGTGTATTCTTAAGAAAGCTCGCAAATGGGGCCTGATTACGTAAGTTGCTGACTTCAATAGACACAATAATGCCCTTCACCTCACAGGCTGAATCTCACATTTCATTGGGAAGAATTTACAATCTGCACATGGTGAGAGCTATGCACCATATTGTGTTTCCATTACAAACAAATCTTAAGCTTTAACAAACAAATCATTTATCCCCTGAGGAGACATTATGAAACCCTAGTGAAATGATGCACACTTTGCATAACCAAAACCCTATTAGTTTATGTACGCTACTACATTTCCAGGGCAGCAAGCTACATCAACCCAGCAGACAGCAGCACATGTTCTGCTCGGCAATGCTATTGCCTATTAACCAGATTGCCCCCCAGGCTGGATCAACAGTAAGTGATGGGGCAACGACCCCCCGGTCCTAAGAGAGAAAGAAAAAGATTTCCATCTTTCTCATGAATTGACTCAGTTGTGTAATTTGCTATAGCTTTTTCAAATGGTGATGGGCACTTAAACATGAGATGGGTCCAGCCACACCTGTGGCACGCTTAGCTCACCTCCATGGCTCATTTGTCTAGCAGCCTGCAAAATGCCAGCACTCAAAGGGTTAATAACTACCAGAGTCGAAGGTGTTGTGAATATTACAATCACATCTCAGTTGTTTAAACTGATTTTACAGTCAATTAAATCTTCGCCGAATCAATAAGTCAAACAAATTACTGTCCATACAATATTGCCTTGTCTGTAAATTTAGAGTGCTCAGCATGAATCCCAGCTGAGATACTCAGATTGCTGGCCAAATTTTTGTATTCAGTGGCTTGAAGCCCTACCCCTTCAGGCTATGATCTCATCCAGTCTCACAAGTAAAGCAGGGCTGAGCTAAGCCACACAAGCATGAGAGCGCCAAGAAAAATTCAGAGTGATGAAAACCCAAGATGATCCTGTACACAGCACTCTTCCCTGTGAGTTAGTGCTCCAGCATGGTGTACCCTAATACCATGCTGTTGGAGATGCCAACTTATGGAGGTTCAAACCAAGTTATTGACCAAGTAGGGACATTGAAGACCCCATAGTCCTTTTGGCAAGGGTAGGGATATTAGACCTACCATCCTGGTAAAATTGATTTTTGATAGTTATGTTCCACCCCCACCCCGACCCCTGGCACTTTGGTGATGATGTCTTGACCAGACTGGGCCAAGAGAGTGACCCACATAACATCACCACCTCCACTGGCTCTGCCTGAATCCCAAACAACACCTGGAATGTGAAACTTTGCTCCCTCCCACACACACAACCCAGTGTGTGTTTTCTTCCCCACTTTATGGCTTTTTTGGAGGGTGGCAGGTTCCTTCTTTAATATCCCTCTCCTTTTGCTTTCTATTTAATAAGAGTCTGGTTTAGCCAGCCAAGACTGTATATTTTGCAACACTGCTATAAGCCTGTGACCAAAAAGGCACCTAACAGCAATGCCCTAAACAGCCCAATGTTGGTACAAATTTTCCAGGTCTCTGAGTGCCTGTGCCCAGAGGTGAAAGTAAACTGGTACAGTCCAGTATGGCATACCGGCAAGAGCCAGTTCACCATGCTGGATTGGACCGGCTTCCCCAGGCCGGCGATTTAAAGGGCCTGGGGCTCCTGGCAGCGGCTGGAGCCCTGGGCCCTTTAAATTGCCACCAGAGCCCTGCTGCCAGAGCCCTTGGGTGGTGGAGGCGGCTCAGCGGTGATTTAAAGGGCCCTTTAAATCACCGCTGTGCCCCTGGCTCCCATCACTACCCCGGGGGCTCCGGCAACGGGGCTCGGGCAGCGATTAAAGGGCCTGGGGCTCCGCTGCAGTAGTGGCGGCCAGGAGCCCCTGACCCTTTAAATCACCACTGGAGCCCCGGCTGCTGCCGTTACCCCGGGGGCTCTGGCAGCGATTTAAAGGGCCCAGGGTTCTGGCTGCTGTGGGGAGCCCCAGGCCCTTTAAATCACCGCCCAAGCCCCACTGCCGGAGCCGTGAGGTAGCAGCAGCAGGGCTCCGACGGTGATTTAAAGGGCATGGGGATCCCAGCCGCCGCTACCGCAGCGGAGCCCCGGGCCCTTTTAATCTCCACCAGAGCCCCGAGCCCGGGGTAGCAGCAGCAGCCGGAAGCCCCTGAGGCTCCATCGGCGATTTAAAGGGCCTGTGGCTTTGCTGCGGTAGCGGCAGCTGGAGCCCTGGGCCCTTTAAATACCCCCTAGCCCCGGGGCTCCCAGCCGCCTCTGCAGCTGGTAGCTCCAGGAGTGATTTAAAGGGCCCGGGGATTTAAAGGCCCCACCTCTTCCGATTGAGGCCACGCCTCTTCCAGTTGAGGCCCCGCCCCCTGCTCAGGCTGGTGTGCCGGTAAGTCCTTTAAGTTAGACTCATAGACTCATAGACTTTAAGGTCAGAAGGGACCATTATGATCATCTGGTCTGACTTCCCGCATGATGCAGGCCACAAAGCGGTCCCTACCCTTACCCTTGACTCTGCTGTTGAAGTCCCCAAATCCTGTGGTTTAGAGACTTCAATTAGCAGAGAATCCTCCAGCTAGCGATCCCTGCCCCATGCTGCGGAGGAAGGCGAAAAACCTCCAGGG